CTTAACGAAGGGCCCAGATACCGCGAAACCGCCGTGCAAAACGGAACCCGCGGCCGAGACTCCGGCAGTCGCAGATAACGACGAGAATTCGAAGAGAATTCGCGCCGCTCGTCTAGCCCTTGTTTTTGCCCCATTCGCCTTAGAGCTTCGCCGAGCCTTCTGCCGAATAATGTTGTGGCTCCGCGGCAGGCTGGGTTCTCGATGCGTGTCGTCTTGATAATAGCCGTCTTGTATCTCCACGGAGTGGCTCTCCTTGCGGCTCCCTCCCCGCACCGAGGTTGATTCGCTAATGCGTTTCTCGTTCCTTAGTTTGGGTTGTCGGATTTTTATTGGGGAGAGGAATTTTACGAATTGCGGATTTCCTCCTCGGTATAGGCTCGCTGTTTTGGCTAATTTGGTCTTTTTTGTTTTGTTTTGTTTTATGGTGTTTTTGTGTACCGCTATTGTGCGGCCATCTGGAGGGGTGGAACGAAAAATCGGAACAACTCCGGCTGAGGGAGGAAGCAACGTGTTGTGCACAAGATTTTGTCTAGCTTGAACGTGTCTCTTTTTTGCGCGGCTTGCGTCTAAAGCGCGATGTCAGAACACGTTAAAAAGACAATGACACACCCCTAAACGTTTTTGTTTTTGTTTTTTGCCTGGCGATTTATTATTGTGTCAGGGCGCTACCCAATCAATATTTTGCTGCAAAGTCACGTATATTTTTTAGAGCGCAGCTCTTAGGGGCCCGTTCCCGGCTTGAGCGGCGTCGGCGTAACCAAGGTCATCCCAAGGTCACGTGGCATTGGGGTCACGTGACCCCTCCAGGTCACGTGACCCCTCCCAAGGTCATCTCAAGGTCACGTGACCCCCAAGGTCACGTGACCTTGGGGGTCACGTGGGGTCATCTTGGGATCACGTGACCCCTCGAGGTCACGTGACCATTCCCAAGGTCATCTCAAGGTCACGTGACCCCAAGATGACCCCCACGTGACCTCAGGGGGTCACGTGACCTGGGGGTCACGTGGGGACCTTGGGGTCACGTGACCTTGAGACGACCTTGGGAGGGGTCACGTGACCTTGGGGCCACGTGACCTCGGCGGTCACGTGACCTTGGGGAGGAGACCACGTGACCTTTGGGGTCACGTGACCTCAGAGGGGTCACGTGACCTCCAAAGGGTCACGTGGCCCCTCCCCAAGGTCACCTTGGGGGTCACGTGACCTTGAGGTGACCCCCATGTGACACCCAGGGTCACGTGACACCCCCCCCCCCCCCGAGGTCACATGACCCCCCCGGACCATATTAAAGAATGAGGGGAAGAGGAGGAGAAGGAGGAGGGGTCTACCCTCCCCTCAGTACCCTTCACTCCTCCTCCTCAAGAGCTGCGCTCCAATTCGGCGTTACAGGGATTTGTAAACGGCTTTCACTTTTTTTTTACAAAGCCAAAGAAACTCAACTCCACGAAACCAAGACATGAGCACGGAAGCTCATGGCCGGGACATGCGGACGATGTGTACCAAGGAGGAGGGGGGGGGGGGATGTAGAGGAGGGGAGAGTTGCCGGAACTCACGTAGCTACACAAGACCGCGGTTTTTTTTTCGTTTTTTTTCCCTTTTCGGTTTTCTGGTGTGTGAAGCAGACGACGACAAAGTAGCATGCACCGTTTTTCGTGCGATTGTTTCGCGCTTATATGCCTTCCGCTCGATATTCTACGCTTGAAGATCGATAGCCGGTACCAGAGACGACATCTCCGAAGTAGCGGCCCCACGCCCATCGCAACGTTGCATGGTCCGTCGTGTGCCGCCATCGCGTCGTCCAAGACTTGGTACGTCACCCAATTGAGAATGACGTAGTATATGCACTTCTTGTAATCTGTGCAACTTTTTTTTTCGATCAACGTATTTGCAGTTTTTTTTTTTTCTGTCTAGGCCACAAAAGTGGGGTTTATATATATATTTTTTTTCTATTTCTAATGTTGGATTCGTTCGTAGATGACCCACGACTTTAAATATATTTGGCGCTCATCGCTTGAACGCCACGTCACCATGGAAAAGAGAGAGAGCGCGATCGGAAACCGGCCATATCTCGCCCGGCTGTTTTCGGGTGGAAAGAGAAGGACTTTGGAGCCGCAAATTTTGTTTTGGGTAGTGCGGTATAGGACATGCTTTAATAAGAGCCTCGGCGAGCATAAATACCCTGTCAGTGTCCCTTTAAGCAGAACTGGTGCAAATAAGACACGTTTGTCGCGCTTGAAGTGGTCAATTTGGGTTTTTCGGAAGGTCGATTGTGAGTTCATAATTGCAGTGTGAAACTGCTGCGCCAAACTGCACCAGAACGAACAACCTGCGACATGAAGGTTGTTCGTTCGTTCGCAAATAACAAAGGCGGTATTTGTTCAAAATTTGCGTCATGTCTGCGCAGAAAAAAGGAAAAAAAAAAAGCTGTTTTCGAAAAAAAAAAACGTGAAAGGGTTGGGCATATAGCATTGTTGGTGATGCCACTTAAAGAAACACTGACCCCCCCCCCCCCAACGTTACTGCCCCCCCCCCCCCCTTCCACCCCAAAAAAAAATGTTGGCCAGGCGATTTATTATGGTGTTAGAGGACTACCCAATCAATATTTTGCTACAGTGTAAAATATTTTAATAAGGTGAAAAAAATCAATTGCTCGATACTTAAGCTGGACTGGGGAGTAAGAAGAGATATAGAGGAGGCGAAAGGGATGCCAAAAATCACATGGGTGTGCAACGTTTTTTCTTTTCTTTCTTTTTATAATCATCGTATTTACAGTTTTTTTAGAAGTCTTACAAAGTGGGTATCATATTTTTTGTCCATTTCTAGTATTGTTGTGTGCCCTGATAACCCACGACTTTGATTATCTTTGGTGGTTGTGTCTAAACCATAGAAAACGGCACGTGACCACGGAAAAGAAAGTGAGCGCGACTCAAGCTGGCCGGCTCTCGATCGGCAGTTTTCGGGCGGAAAGAAAACAAACTTGAGATGCAAATTGGGTTCTGGGTAGTTATGTCTTGAGCAAATAAAAACCTTGGCGAGCATAAATACCCTTTCAGTGTCCCTTCAAAACTAAGTACAGTTTTTTTTTTTTTTTTTTAATGATGCTTAAGTACGGTATGCGAAGAGTAGGGTTGCGCGATTGTTCGATTTTTCAAGTAGTGCTGCGATATTCGTACTTTTCGAAGTGTTTATCGCGGCGGGTTAGCCCCCCTGAGTGTACTTCTCCTCAAGAATTGATGCACTGCGGAGGAGCAGTAGTCGCTTCTCCGCAGTGGAGCCGCGCACTTAGATGGAAAACACACCTTCAAAGCGATCTGGTGTATTAAAAAAAAAAAGGAAAATGTTGTGATTGTTGATATTTACATTGCGGTAAAATCTTCAAAATTTAACTGCGGTTATTATGCCAGGGTATATGTTAGGCAGCGATGTTTTAACAACCTGTGTTCATTATTTGTGCTTTTTTATGTTTAATTCAGAATTGAAGAAAATATTTGCATATAGCAAGAAGATTTATAAATCCCCTCAATGAGGTATGGCTGGGCGCCTTGCAGGTTTAATTTTATGTAAGATCGGTTGTTTTCTAGCCATTGCAATGTACTTATTGGACGTTTTGAGGCCACAGGCGAAAGTATAGGTAGATTAAATTTATCGGAGCTCATAAGTGGGCAATTAGAAGCTTGGAAACAACTTTCGCGAGTTCAGCTAAAATTTTGTTTAAGCATGGTGTAACAGTAGTGAAAGGCGTGGAGAAAGGCGCAGCAACTATTCAATATTCTATTATTAAAAAATATTTCCTTAAAACCACTATGGACTTTGAATTTGCTTCGAAGCCAAAATCCATCACCTGCACATGCCTAACGAAGAGTTTTTAGGCTTTTGTGAGAACGGTGCTCACATCGATTGCATTGAATAGCTACCGCTACTCGTTGTGATCGGTTAGAGTAGCTATGTGCTCCGCTCAGATGTTCTATGAACAGTAGCAGGTTGAATACGGGCGAGAGCAGCATGATACGAACCCTACAAAGTAGCCCAGAACATCTTTTTACGCCGAAGACAGACCGAAGACGCCATCGGTGCAGAATAATTGAGAGATCTGCAAAATCACCGCCGTGTATAAAACTTTCTGACATGAAAGCTCAGCATTGTCTGCTCCAAAAGTGGAAATTTCTGCTCCAAAACGCATTTTTCCCTGCTACAAGAGCTGCTCCAAAATCACCACTTGTCAGTTCCATCGCTGTAATTCGGAAACCGCGCATAAATCGTTTTGAAATGAAGCATCTTCACCGTCATATTTGTCGGTATATTTAGCCATGTTCCTCTCTTTTTTTCACCCTCTGAATCGTTTTCTTTTTTTTTTTTTTTTTACGTATTTACTTTATTTAGATACCGAAGTCAGGCTCAGACCGCAGTAGAGGCTTCGCTTCCACCCCGCGTTCGCTGTGTTCAGTCGGGATTGGGCTGTTCTTACGACGGTGTGTTGATAAGGCATACACCTGGCGCTGGAAATGGACTGTCTTCTGCGTTCGTAACCTATCACCGACCATTGGTGTACGCTGCGCGACACAGCTATACTCCGTTTCACCTTATGTTGTACCGCAGAGAAGGCCAGAAGTGCGAGCTCATAGCGTTGGCAGCTGCCCTTGTTGCACGAGAGCTTGTGCCGTCGAGATGTGCCCTAGAGCAAGGAGCTCGCGCTTGTAGCCTTTCCTGCGGTACAACACTAGGTGAAACAGAGTATAGCATAAACAAAAGCTTTTTTTGTGTGTTCTTTTGTTTTAATCTGAAAGGCCTCTCGACGAAACTACGAGCTTAATGGAACGTGCTTCTGTCGAACACCGACTTAGGCTTTGTCTCTGACAACAACCTCTCCATATAAAATTCGAAAACGCGTTGATGACGTGTTCGCGTTAACTGTGTCGCACGGTGTACCGGTGCATGAACGTTTCGGAAGCAGGGAAGTGCAGCCTGAACGCGCCTCGCCATATCCTGCTCGCTGCCTCACGCAGGTACACTCTCCGGGGCAAGGTTCGGGACGAGTGGGGCAAGGTGCAGCTCACCTTCGACCTGGAGGTGGTGCAGGTCCCGCAGCCAGAGCTGCTGGGCATCCGACGCACCAGGCTCACGGGAGACGCCTGGCACTACAAGCGCGTCTGCGAGGAGATCCTCAAGATCAGGGCCGAGTGAAGCGACGTCACTGCTGCATCGACGGTTCATTCTTCGTGCGACCCTTTCTGCTGGCGCTGCGTCCCGGCTGTGCCTTTGGACACCGGAGTGACCCTTCTGTAACTCTGCCGGCCCTTGTGCTACCAGCATCTCTTTCTTTAGCAGATCTATACTTCGTCTGGTTCTTTGTACGCCTAAAGTGTTCGATCTGACCAGCCCCGTTTATATGTGGCTTACGTGGCTCTCTGGTTGGTTGGCTGAAAATGACTGGTTAAGAGGCACGCGAGGTAATTTTTGCATCGTTACTTCGGTATTTTGTACTGGTGTGAAGTGAAGTGTAAGCCTCCACTTTTGGGGGCCCAGTCTGCGCTCCCTGTGCGTGTGCTATGGGTAGATACGCGCGCATTTTTCAATGACTCGCAAGACTGCCAAACAGCTTTTCCGAATGCTTTCTCGCACTACGATGTAAATTTTATTTTAGCCTTTATGTCGATTACGCAGTTCTGAATGCAACGATATAAAATTATTTGCACGAATATCTACTAATTTTCCATCTTAATCATGTGTTTATCCGAATGTATTTGCTTCGATGAAAGTGTGCTTTATGTGTAACATTTCTTTGGCGATTAATTTTTCGTGCATTGTTGATGAATGCTTCAGAGTGCAGCAGTGTGCATGTTTTGTTACTAATATATCTTAAGAACCGCCACGACTGATCTTCCTTCTTCTCATCGAGACGATGAATCCACACAAAATCTGCGTTTTTTACAGAAGCGCAATGAAGTGTTGGATGTCCCTTTCAACCGAAGGAAGCAAAAATAATAAAAAAAAGGTACAAAGGTCAGTGGTGGCTACGTCTATACAGAGTTACCTTATGCATGTATAATATACGAGAGACTACAGAAAAGACTGCCACAAAACACGCCTTACGAATGTTTTGCTGTATTGCGATGCACGTATGTTATCTCATTTATGTGGATGCAGTAGTTGTAATTCAAGTTATACATCGTTATATGCACGAATACCTACTATCCCGCTCATGTGTTTATATGGATGTTTGTCTGGAGAAGGTACACCCCGATCGGTAAACAATCGGCGGTTACAATTTCTGCTCAAAGTTGATAAAACTTGCAAGTACAACTTGTGTGTGTCTGATTTGTTTTGCCGGATTTGGTAGCCGGGAAAGTTTTATCTTGACGAATGAAAGTAATCTGTTTTAATTACAACTAGAAACCACCAAAATGTATGTATAGATATATATGTTCATTTTTTTTTCTATGACATTAATTTGGAACGGGGACATCAGTGAGCAAGGCTCAGCTTCTGTAAAATGACAAGCATGTGTTGAGAAAGAAAAATTTAACCGATTTTTCGCACTTGCTAAAAAAAAAAACTTAAATCATTTCACATTAATCTGCATCCGGCCCTTTCTCAATAAATAATTACTCATGCATGTCTTTTTTTGTGACACGATGCATAAGTAAAAAAAAATCACATGAAGGGAATTGCTTCTACTTTAGTTATTTCAACTGTTTAGCTATCATCATAGCATAAATAATCGGGGGCCACGGGATGCAACTTTTGGGTTTTTGACTTCTTAAGATGAAGGGTAAAAGTAATTGTGGTGCCTGCTTGCTTAGATAGCAGTAAGGTATTAGTCAGCTCCAGTGGGCTCTAGATGTCTCTGCTTTAGATGAAAAATATAGCCACCGCAGTACCACTCCTGGGGTCTCGGCGTCCATCACGAAGTAGTGATACACGACCGGACGCCGGTACGAGGCTCATCCAGATCGAAACGGGCAGGGGTGGGAACTGAACCAATACCACCTAGAAGACAAGGCCTGCGCATGACGTTTCGTTAGTAGATCCCCGACCCGCCCCAAGCGGCAAACACACCGAAGCTTGACGAGAGTATGGGCCGCGTCCCAACTACTTCGCATTCACTTGCGGCCACAGCTGTGTGCGTGACTGCTGAGCGCAAGCTGATAGCGAGCTTCCAGTTCATTTGCAACGTGCACACGAACACTCCCTCGGCCAGAAGCGCGAGCTAGCACGCGCTCCTGGCTTTGAGATGGGCATTTCTAGCGAGCGCGCTCGTTCTGTGGAAGAACGCTTCAAAGCAGCGACTTGGAGTATAAAAAGAGCCCTCGTAAATGGCGTCCAGCGCTAGTGTCCAGCGTCCAGAGAAGGGCTTTGCAGCCCTTCGCAAGGCAGTAAGGCAGTTTCACTCATGCATTTGACGCTCCACGTGAACGTCAAAGCTCATCGTATGCTATAGCAACAGAAACTCGGCGTGAGCACCTGTTTCATTATCTGCTACGCAAACCACTGAAACAGGCGATGGAGCAGACGATCTAGCTGACGATGGGGCTCATCCGGGCTAGCTAGGGGGCGCTGAGAGGATCTACTAGTGATGACGTATAGAGGAGGAAATGCGCAGGCCTTGTCTTCTAGGTGGTAGTGACTGAACCCTGGGTTCTGCAGCTCGAGTTTTCGGTCCAAGAGCTCCGGGGCGATATCAGCACGAACGATCATTTGCTCGTTCTTCGAAGTACCCTTTCAGTTGTACGTACGAATCCTTGCATAGCTCGTCCGTAGATACAGGAACTCGTTAAGCGTATATACAGTGTAGCTGAAAGCTCGATACCCGTGATCTTATCTAGTCTTGGATCGAAACGACGCTATTTAGGAAAGACCGTCGGCGTTCTTCCGGGCGCACGCTTCGAAGGCGAGGCAGCGCTGGTACGTGAGCACGCTCCCGCTGGCCGGTGAAAGGGTGCGCTCAGATGAGCTGCCGACAGCTTCCAGCTGCTGAAACTCGAAACTGGCGACCTCGGAACGAGCTTTCTAGCGGAATGTGTTTGGTCGTCGCATGCTGCAAACAGGACCAGAATCGGGAGCTGCCGGATGCCAGGAATTCGACTGGCGCGTCGCTTGTCTTGTTCTCTTATCGCCAAATTCAAGGAGGAGAGACGGGACATGGAGCGTGTGCTGCTGCGATCTTTCCTCATGATACTCGGCTGTGATAGTTATTTCAGAGTGGCAATAACAGGGCGTGTCATTCGAGCGCCCGGCCTTCAGCACGCGCTCCGTTACTTCCGCCGTGCTTTGGCTGTGCACGAGCTCGCTCGAGGTGCACGAGACGCCGAAGCGTGATCAGTGAAAGGAAGCTCGCTCTGGGAGGCGGCACAACTGACAATAAAAATAAAAAAAAAAAAAAGCTGTGGAGTATATAGCTTAGTGGTATTGCCTCTGTTTCGCACACAACATACCCAGGTTGGATTCTCCCGGGCGGCGGGCGATATCTTTGAAGGATTTGGCAGCATCGACGACGGACACGTAACATCGCCAACTACAACATGACCAACGACAGCTACTACATCAGGGTTAGCCAGGTTGACCCGGCCTAAGAGCCGCCGGGGTGGGGGGAGGGGGAAGGGGGGGGGGGGGGGGCAGGCTGTTGTCTAGAGCAATAAACGAAACGAACTACTTTTATTCTACTCGAGTCAAAAGCAGTCCAAGTGTGCGTAAAGTAGCAGTAGCACAAGTCTACCAAACCGCAACCTGTCTTTCGATTTAAAACGCGTTCCATTTCTCTTTTTGGGGAAGTGCTCGTGTGGGCGGGAGGGAAGCGGGGTAGGGTGTAAAGAGGGGGGGGGGGGGGGGGGGCAGAAAGCCGCGAGCCGCGCTTTAAGACGCGAAGAGCCGCAACTTGGCCACCCCTGTACATCAACAAACTACTACTACTACTACATCAACAACGGACGCAATTTCCACTGTTGGAATGAGCCCATAACTACTATTAGTGTAAAAAACAAGAGGGTATTTATTGCGAGAGAAGGTGTACAGGCGAGCTGGTTAGTAAACCCTAATCTAACAGTTTAGATTATTGTATTTCTCAACGTAAGTCACAAGTATAGATTTGTTAAAAGCGTATTTGTGATACTGATACATAGTGACGCGTGGTTCATTTAAACGAAATGGTGCAGAGCTGTTTTCCCAGGTCCTGAATTTCTTAAAATTTTCGGTAAGTTGTTTTCTCACACGACTGCATCATGCAACATGTCACGGTCCACACACACTAGATTGCAAGCGTGCACTCGCTACTATGACGAACCAGAAAATGCACTTACCAAGCACCCAAACACTGCAACGAACGCACCCAGGGACGCTTTTTCGGAAAGGTCAATAAAGGCAACTTTTGGCGTTTGGGACTTCGAATCATACAAAGAGAGAGTGAATAGTTCCTCTTTGTATTAAGACAGTGGGTAGGCGCAAAGGCTATATTTCGTTTCATCATATGTCTGAGCGCAGTGGAAGGCACGAGCACATAGATCTACGAACACGCATACTGTCCAAGTCACTAAAAGTCACTATGGGCCTCCCTGTATACTTGATTGGTTTAGTGTTGATAGAACACATACAGAAACATGGCGAGTACCGTTGCGTTGCGTTTCTGACGCTGTTCAATTGGTCCTATCTGGTCGAAGCGTCAGCTGCTCTCGGTCTCAAAGTGAAACGATGTACCGGGTGTCACAAATGGCGTCCAGGCACTTTAAATCGACCGCACAATTCGGTTTCTTAATCTATCACGCTACTGTTTTGTGCAGCGTTGCCCACAGATGGTGCATTTTATTGTGTAAATTTTGCAAAGAGCGAACTTACCTGTGGAAAAAGTCAAAAAAGAAAAAGGCTCCTAGGGAAATGCAGCGAAGCCACCGGTCTTCTAACAATAGGGCTCCCTATTGTTTGAAGACCGGTGGCTTCGTTGCATTTCCATAGGAGTTAAGCCTTTTTCTTTTTTCCTCAAGTAAGTTCGCTTTTTCCAAATTTTACACAAAAAATATGCACCATCTGTGGGCAACGCTGCACAAAATCGTAGCGCTATTGGTGAAGAAATCGAATTTTGCGGTCGATTTAAAGTGCCTGGCCGCTATTTGAGACAACCTTTTCCTGTACCCACTATCTCCCCCTGACCAGAACGTGCAAGGCGTCATCTGATCCTCGCTAAGAATTTGGCGTTGGAAGGCCGAACGTTGGCGTCTGGCGTTTGGTAACTAAACAGCAGCAATGAGAGGCCTTACATGCAAGCATGCGGAAGTTCGCGTAAACATTTCGCAACTGTCCGAGGAAACTTGTTACGAATATCACGAAATAAAAGCTTCGCTCAGTCCAGAGCGTCCAAGTGTGGGCGATGATGAACGATGTCCCCCAGAGTCCAGCGGTCATTTCCGCTTTTCTCTGACAACGCTGCTTCCTCCGCGAAATCATTACAGATGGCGACAAGTTCATTTCCCTCGCTGCCGCGACCCGTAGCCTTGTCAGGCTACGGCAGCATTTATCGCGTAGAGTTGCGTCAGTTCCGTCCGAATGATATCGATCATTTTTAGGGGAGATTATTGCCGCCGGAACTTCGTACGCTCGTTTGTCTTGTGCGCCGGTCGCGGGGCCCCTCGGTGGCCATAGAGCACGTTGCGGTCAGAAGAAAGAGGACGGTGTCTCGAGCTATTTCCTTTCTGCGGTCCGGTACAGAAGATGCTGGAGTGTGCTCTTACTGGGTGCAAACGAGACCACTCGCAAACATTTTTTTGATTTGTATAAAAATTGGGGCTGTTCAAAGTTTCTTTACATAGATCTTAAATGTCCTATGTTTATGGGCAGTTGGAATAGTCTGCGGCTAGAAAGCTTTGAGCCATCGTGTACCCCTCGTCAAATCAAGAACCATGAGCGTAGCCCGCGCACTCTACCGGTGCGTATTTAGAGATGAAGTGCACCTGTCGAAAACTTCCAGGTGTTTGGAGTTCTGGACGTCTCCTTTCGATCCTCGCAACCTGTTAGCACACCTTGTAGGCAATTACACTACGGTTCCTGAAACGAATCTCCGACTTGCGAGTTTACCACGTTGTAACAAGTATAGTTTCTTGATTTCCGCCGGTTAACGTCATAGATGTGTCATGTCGCCGGCCGCGATCCTGGCGGTGTCACGGCAGCGGTCGTAGATGTGGCGAACGCTTGTTTCCTACGGGTTGCTGTCCAGCTTGACGGTTCACAGAACCTCCAGGAGTCAGGGACTTCGCGACGACGGCGACACTCACGTTCGCTCGCACTCTTTACCGGGACTTCTAGCACCAACCGCCAGG